TTACACACTGTCATGGAGGTGTTGCTAAGACCTAAACGAGGTCGAAATTGCAGCCCACCCTGAATACGAACACCTTTTAGGAAAGCAAGGCTATGTGAAATTCAATGGAGACGTCATTGTGGGAAAATTCAACTACCAGTCCTTGACCTTAAACGAAATAGGGTGAACACAGCTCATACATCTCTTTTCTTGTCATCCTCATCATATGTCATTAGCTTCATGTGAAATGTATCATTTTGATCCTCCTCGATTGGATCATAGTCGTCCAAAAAAAACGTTGGACAACACTAGTCTTAGTCCTCCAGATGTGTGAAGAGTATTTTAGTTAATTGTCTTCATACTGTGCTGAGAAGCTATATTTTTAATAATCCCCTTGATAGAATGATTTTGCTTCCAAAATGGCAATATGCAATTGAATGTGATTGTAGGGAAATTCAACTACCATTCCTTTTCATTTTAACTAAATAGGATGCATACATCTCCTACATATGATCTATTGAGAGTCTGATATGACAAATTATCAACTGTTTTGTTTGTTTTAGATGCCTAAGAGTTTTGAGTTGTTGTCGACCTGTTGACAAATTGCGCTTTTCGTCCTTCCGGTACAAGACAGGCATCGTTATGGCCTAAAGATGAGCTAGCATCGGCATTTTTATCCAAATCACTTGCCACAAAATTCACATTTCCTAGCCACCTGATTTCGGAATTGCTGTCTAAGCATTGCTGGAGCCCCTCTGTTGTTGCCTGAATCGTTAGTCGATTTAGATACATGCTCAAGGGCCACTGCTGCATTGTCGTCGGGCCTGGTGAAGCTTTGCAGGTCATTAGCACCCGCTTTTCAGGCAAATACTATCTTATGCGGTATTGCTCTGTATGCACTTGGGCGTATCGCGGCAACTCTAGCATGTGTGGGTCACTGTATGTATGCCTTCATGCACCGAGATGTTGGTCAAGCTGGTGACTTTATGCCTCTTTCTGTGATCGCATCAATCTTCCCTCCGGTGGTATGAATGCCGTTCAAGAGACAAGGATACCCGTTGGGTGTCCGATAGTCTCTACGGTGTATTTGATGTCGGTGTGTTTCGAAACGATTACCGATAGTTTCGAAATATGCTCACAATGAAAAGAAGTAAAATCGTCGATTGCAGCGAAAAATACATGTACTCTGTCGTCGTATAATCCCAATGTAAATGGGACTTTGGAAAGGCTTGCTTTGCTCTGAATGCCACATCTGCCCTGTGACCCACTGGCACACTTGGCTGTCCACCACGATACTTACGGTCCGGTATCGAATTCTGCTGGAGGTCGAAATTGCGATCCATCCTGGATCAAAAAAGGTTTTGAGAGGCAAGGCCAAGGGGAATTCAATTGCATCGTGAGAGGGTGAGCTGGGGTGACTAAATTCTTATTCTTTACTATAGTCTACTCCTAATGACCCGACTCAAGGAACAATACTAAAGTATTGTTGGAAAGACTTTAATTTCGTATGGAAGTGAATGCAGAAGATATTCGTGGGTCGATCTCACCAGAAGAGGACGGCTGAATCCCGTTGTACAACAGCCGTTTGGCTTTTATACGACGTTCAGGTTGACGCAGTCCACGAAACCTCCTTCCTCTCAAGAGATCCATCGAACCCCAATTTCTCTTCGCATCTACAATAATAAAGTATCCGTGTTCATCAAGTTTCTTACAGTTTATGTAAATACTTTTATTCGAATTTTTCACAATGGACTGAACCCATCTCATGATGCACTTGACTTTCACATGGTCTCACCCCCCAAAAGTCCTCATCTGGGTTAGACTACAGCCTCGACTCAGCGGGGCTCAAAGCAGCAACCTTACATCATTTTGACCTTCAAGGCAAGCAAAGTATTCTCCAGTTCACATAGCAACTGGAATTGGTATCTATAACGTATACCTTTATTTGCCATTAAAATCGATGACATTATTGTATGCCAAATGATCAGATTTGAAAACTTTAGTTGAATCACGACTTAGAATATCAGTCATCCTCCAACATCTCTGGCTATGCTGTGGAATGGTTAACTGTTTTCAGTTAACGAACACAACCTAGTTTCGAATAACAGTCTGGGCTTGACGAGACAGAGATGAGATCAAAACTGAGCTCTAGTCTGAGGATATACTTTGCACATGAAATACTCTCTATTACCTAAAATACACCATTTAGATAATCTTTGAAATGATTATAATGTTAAACTCTATTCGATTATTCTCATTTGAGAGGCTAGCAATTCGTTGCGTAGATGGCGTCTTTGTGAAGGAAAATTTTGTAAATGAGATTTATTCACCCTAATTACTTTAGCGTAATAGAGATTTTGTAATTAAATTTTCCCACATTCATATGATTAGGCCTCACATGGAATTAAATTTCGCATAGCCCTGCTGCTCAAAAGGTATTATTCTCTAGGGTGGACTATAGTTTCGACCTCGCTATGTCTCATTAGCACCCCCAGGATTACTCTAAACTTGACAGTTCAGCGTATAAGCTTGACACGTTAACGAGTACGCCACGTTGCCACGAGTACCGTTGGATCGGAGGAAATAAATGAATTTAATGGAAGACCAGGCCTCTATCATATCAATTTCTGTGGTGGGATTGTCTATGAAGGAAAAATTGTATTTGCTAAAGCAATCGACTATATTAGTTATTGAAGTGGGTGTAGGTCGTCGCAACTTGGTCTTGTTGTTAGGACATCATGTACGAAGTCCTCTTCAATAGCAGTTATCATAAGTCCCAGCAATAGACAGTGGACTTGGTACATTCTCAGACGTTTCGCCGGCATCGTAGTCGGCATCATCAGTGAGTGATGCCATTCTCCGCACTAAGCTACGAACTCATCAAAGTGACACGAGGTCACTCCCTCGACCAAAGTTTTGCCGAAAATGGTTAAACTATCAATTCTATTTCTGTCCTGGCCCATTGATCTACTCTGCCCTATCACAACTTCTAACTTGTTTACAAAAGGTGTGCCCTTTTGTGGCAAATTTAGTGTGGCCTCATCACACCCGCTATTCACCCCGACCTCCTCTTTCGATCGGCTAATCCGACTCGGGCCTCCAATCCGGATAGCCTTCATGGTCCCGTAGATCCGTTCCTTATCTTTCTGGTTGACCGATTTCACTCAGTTCCAGTCCCAGTGTGCGTTTCACTCCAGCCGCCATTTCTCAAAGCCCTAGAAGGCTCTGATTGCCATGCTTGCAGATATCCGGCCTTCCCTTCACGGGTCCTCTCCTTCATTAAACCCATGTTATCTGAGCAAACTGTGGACGTCTATCTCTGGTCGCATGCGACATCTCAAGTGGATTTCTACTACATTTGAGCCATAATGTCGAATTTATGTAACGGTTTGCTTATCCGTCCGCATATCTCCCTGACACGCCCCCAAAGTTGTATTGGTTTATTCAAAACGGACATCACTCACCAACAACGTCTTCGCTTGATTGCCGAAATTTCTCACCCCCACTTTCCTCATCGCGATCCTTTTCCTCCGGTTAGCGATACATCTCTGATTTAGGCGTCTCCTTTTTGCTGGTCTTGCTGTATTCTTTGGCAAATGTATCACTAACTCTACCTTCCTCCAATCTCCTGTTCATTCGATTTTTCTCCCCAAGGGTTTCAATGGCCTCCCTAATCTTCACTTCCTTGTGTTGTCACCGTATGAGGCGCTCTTGCTGTTGTCGACGCAGCATGAAAAGGTAGACAAATATGATTGCACAGGCGTTTACTGTATATCATGCGGCGCTTGCGAACAGAAATATATTGGCGAAACAGGGAGAAAAATTAGCACATGAATCAAGGAACATGAAAGGCCTTGCAGGAAAAGGGATACCGAAAGATCAGAACTAGCGGAACACATCGCTTAGACTGAACACGAGATCAATTGGAAGACAATAGAAATAAGGGCCTCATATAGAGCAAACGCAAGGAAGCGGAAGATTAGGGAGGCTATTGACATGTTTGGGGAGAATAATCGAATGAACAGGAGATTGGAGTAAGGTAGGGTTAGCGATAACTTTGTTTACTGGAGCAAGACCAGCAAAAGGGAGACGCCTGGATCAGGGATCTATCGTTAACCGGAGGAAAAGGGATGACGATGAGGAAAGGAGGGGGCAATCAAGCGAAGATGTTGTTGGTGCGTGATGTCCGTTTCGAATAAACCAGTACAACAACAACCTGCCTGGCAATCAGGGAGCTATGCGAATGGATAATCAAACCGTCACATAAATTCGACGTTATGGCCAAAAGGTACTAGAAATCCACTTGAGATGTCGAATGCGACCAGAGATAGGCGGCTACAGTTTGCTCAGGTTTCACGGGTTGAATCAAGGAGACGACTCGTGAAGACAATGCCTGATATCTGCAAGCATGACAATCAGGGCTTAGGTGCTCTGCTCAGTGAAGCGAACATGTATGTGCCTCTAGGGCCTGGAGAAATAGCGCCTGGAGTGAGACACACACTGGGACTGGAACCGAGTGAAATCGGTCAACCAGAAAGATGAGGAACTGATCTACGAGACAATGAAGGGATCCGGATTGGAGGCCAGATTCGGATCAGCCGATCGAAAGAGAGCGGTTGAGGTAAATAGCAAGTGTGATGGGGCCACACTAGATTTTTCACAAAAGGGCACACATTTTGACGAGTGGAATGTCAACAAGTTGTGATAGGGCCGGAGTTTGATAAGAGGATAAAGAGTAGATAAATAGGCCAGGACAGAAAGAGAAGTGGTAGTATAATAGTTTTCGGCAGAACTTTATTTGAGGGATTGACATCTTGTCTCTGCCGAGGTCGTAGCGACAACACGCACTGTTGGTGCCGACTACGATGCCGGCGAAGCGTCTGAGAATGTACCAAGTCCACTGTCTGATGCTGGGAGTTATGATAACTGCTATTGCAGAGTACTTCGGGCAAGGTACTTTCCACTAAATCGCCCTGACAACAAGATCAAGTTGCAACAACGACGTCCACCTACTTCTATAAATCAAAAGAAGACGGCGACCATGCCGAGGGTCAAACATCTTGGTCTTCATATCTTTTATTAGTTATTTTTCGAAAACCTACTTATAAAGGAAAATTTTGTATTTTGAGTATATTTTGAAAAGCTGGGTTTTCATAAATCGCTCTGCTTTAAGCTGAAATTCTTATCTACCCTTTGGCCCACTGGCACCAGTATTAACGTGACTCCAAGGTTCTCACCTTAAAATAGTGAGCTTTTTGGGAATCAAGGTTGAGTCAAATTTATTGGTAGTGTGAGGCTTAATCACATAATTGCAGTAAAATGTAACTGTTAATCCCTAAATAAGCCCTAAAATCTTGGGGTGACAAATTACTTGTTCATTTCGAATGAACGTGCATGAAGAAGACATTCTTTGGTCGATCCCACCAGATGAGGACGGATGAAACTCGTTGTACTGCAGCCGTTTGGCTTTTAAAAGACGTTCATGTTGACGCAATCCATGAGACTTCCTCCCTCGTTTCGGGTGAAAACGTGCTGATCTTTCGTCCATCAGAGCTGGGTGTCATTCTTGTGAAAGTCTCACGTTAGCACTAAAGCAAGAATACTATCCGGCTCTATCTTG